GATTTTTTCTTCTAGAAGTAACTCTTCACAAAAAAATGTTATCAACAAAAAAAATGTTTATGAGTAAACTGCAGTTCAAAGATGTAATCGCATGAAAGCAACCTACCGTAAAATCCGTGTCTGCTCGGCATTTTTGTCTTCCTTAAATACCATGCAAACAAGTGATCCAGTAAGATTTGTTGTTGTTACTGATAAAGCTATGAAGCAAAATGACATTAATACAGCGATCAGCATTCGCACTGTTAGTAAGTACCGAAATTTAGAGTAAATCCCGGTCCTTTTGGATTCTTTTCTCATAATCTTATCACAGTTTTTGGCCAAATCCCCTCTTGCATCGATATTAGCAGTAATTTCACTCACAGATGGCACAACTCGCACCATTTCTAAAACACAGCAAAGGATGATAGAATTTACGCAGTTGGAGATGTAAATTATTATCGTACAATTAAGTGTAGCGAAAATAAAGATTAATTTGTAAGACAAGTTTTCAACGATAATCTGTAGGGAAAGATTATGCTTGCTAATTAATATTTATTTATTACTAGCAAAAATTTATGTTTAAACCTTGTTTCTTGCACTAATACATGACGATTTCTGGTACTGAATAATGTTTACCATAATTAACTTTAATAAATATTTCTTATTATTGTGGCAAGTAATCTTATTCTCCATAAGAAGCATCGATATTTGCCATGTTAGTTAAATAACGATTAAATATTAGAAAAAGCTATTATGGTATACACTTATATACTCAAAAAGTCATAATAATAACAATAATAATAATAATAATAATAATAGTAATAGCAATAGTATTGTTGGCATAATTTTTTTGTTGTACCTTCTAGAAACGAAAAGATTGCATCTACAAAAAGTGTATTCAATAAGAAATGAGAAAAATGAAGTAGCTGTAGCACATTTTCTACAACAAGGACGACTTTTCTTAGTTTCACAACAATCTGAGAGCAGCTCGTCACATTAAGCTTTTGTTATTATCATTATCATCATCAGAATTATTATAACACTATCCACCCTTATCATTATTAATATTATTATTACTTGTTACTGCTATTAATACTATCATGACTATCTCTTCCATCTCTTCAAGCAAAAAGGATTAAAAAAGTTCTGAATGAAATTTAATTCATTTCAATAGACGAAAAGTCTGAGCACATATTACATTTTCGTCAGTTTCCGTCAATTTTCTGATTGAATTTTTTGCAAACTTACAAATGTAATGTTTGATGTAGCGATGTATTAATAGTTTCCGTGATCTTCTAAGTGATTCATTGCTTTGCTTGTATTATTGTCAATGCATTAATTATTAGTATTTCTCAAAGCATAGACTCATTCTTTGTAGATGACATTTGCTTGGCAATAGTGTGGTGCCGATTTTGGATTTGCCTAAACTTGCAATGTAGTATTCTGCAGAGTGAAGAATACTGCTCGATGCACAATTGGCATTTCAGCATTATTATTCTGTACAACTTTTGATCTATTTCATTACTGATTCCGACTATATCTGAAGAAACATTATAGACATTGTCTTCCATGTAAAGTTTGAGCCTTTTGTTCAGTTAATTTTGCGTAATTTTCATCCCTTAAATGAAGTAATGATACTCTTAGAGTGGGAGAACGCAAGAAAGCAAATAAACAGATGAAATGAATATTATTAGTGGGCAGGTGTGAATGCAAAATATCAAGAAATGATTGCTAATTAAAAAAAGTTCCTTATAAAACCTCAATAAAAGAATACTGTTCGACACAATTATCAATTGATCACTGTACAAAACAATAATTTTTGCTTTCATGCTTTCCACTTTGAGCTTTTTCAGCTAGAAACCGGAAGTGCCAAGTGTAGTGATTCCTAGCTCAGAACGACGACAATTTGAATAAAATACAATAATGGCGACTTCAGCAAAATTCATTTGCAATTTACCACTGACAGAGTTACAATCATTTCATTTTTTATTGAATTCATTTATCGAAATTGAATGATTCTGAGATAGTTAATAGAAATTGTCATTTTCGGTAAACCATCACATGCTGTGCTGTGGAAAGTATAAATGCATGAAACGTTAACGGAAGATTTTTGCCATAATAAAAGCGTTCCAAAAACATGTATTATAGCAAATCATTTCGAGCTGTCATTTGTAAAAAAAGCACAATTAAAATGCTTGATCTAATTAATTTTTGAGTCAATGCTAACGAAATAATGCGTTGGTCAAGAAATTATTCTAACTTCATCTGAGAAAAACTTGAAAAAATTTAAAGATCGAGAGGAATTTAGCAAAGTAATATATTTCTAAGGCAAAATAGATGATTATATTAAATGTATATTTGTGAACCTGACTTAAATTTGGAATATCATCCAAGACATCCATATTTTTGTTCAAAAGTTTTGTGACTTATCAATATTTTTATGTTTAACTTGATTGTTCGACTAAATTTAGATGAGATAAACTTCCGAGCGTAAAACAATATTGAAAAATAGAATAATGGGACGACCAATTTCCAGAGCCTTTTCATCTTATTGCTGTACTTAATCTTTTTAGTTTTACCTTAAAAGTAAAAAGTACAAGACCGAAAATAAACGCGAAATTAAAGTTAGCAATGCAACTGTTAGCTGACTACAGTAGCCAATTACCTCTTCTTTTAATCTGAATAACATTGCATTCAGAAGGACTGCTCAAAAAAATTTTCATAAGAGTAAACAAAATATTGCTCTCAATTATCCACTTGAAAAATTTGAATATTTCTCTATTAAATTACAAAAAACTTGGTTGGTAGCTGCACAAATCAGGTTTGATTATCACAGAAAGCTTTGTGAAGGAGAAATGCTCAAATAAATGTAAAGAATTTAGGTTTTTCAAAGCAATACAATTTACAATAATCAGCCCTTTCGGGGATTTGAATCATTCAGCTAGAATTCCTCTTAAACACAACAAGTCCATGTTATAATACAAGATATGAGTAAAAAGCAAATTTTCAAAGCAAGGGCTACTTAAATAAAAAATTCATTATGGAGCGCGCGACGAAGCTCCAGCGTTTGTATAAGATTAAGTAAGCACTGAATTTGTCAAGCAAGACTGATGCACACTTGTTCAACAACAGACTCTTTCCTGTATTCATTTTATTTGCGAATTTCTTCTTACTTAGGTCCAACTATTTAACTTTTTACTTACTTTTTGCTCAAACAACTCTTCTACAATATTACTTTTGGAAATAATCTTTTTTTCCAACAACGATATGAATTTTCTAGTTTTAGGTCAACAATTCCTCAATCGCATTGCATTATTGTATGTTTATTAAGCTGGCAAATAAAAAAACGGAAATAAATTAAGCGAAACTGAAAAAATTGACTTTTGACTTTCAAGTTTTCAAAGTAAACAGTGAATACAAATAATGGAACAACTAAATCTTTTGTTTATTAAGTGTAAAAATTTGAAAATTGGCACTTTTATTCTTACATAAATTTAAGTGAGCCAAAAGTAAACAAAGCAAATGAATAGAAGTAAACAGAATTGTTGCTTGTTACTCAACTAAAAATTCAGTGCTTAATCCGCGAAGGTCATATTTTTCATCTAACTTTAATTTTTCTATTTTCATTGTAGTTAGGCAATATGTTTCACTCTATTTGTGTAGCAGCGAATAGGGCCAATAATAAAGTAAAATATGCCTAATCTAAAAACACAGTTATGACTTCATTTTACTCTATCAATTTTAAATTTTCACTTCTGATAAGGATTAAAATTTGTCATAATATTATTCAGTACGGCATGAATGGGATTTATAGTCAGCTAACAGGGATTTATATTGATTTGTTTAAAAAGTTTGAAAAAATCGAAAAAAAGTCGTACTAAATTGGCAAAAAATGAAATGGTCTTATAGATTTCACAAAAAGAAATTATATTTGCTTTTCTAAAATTAAATATTTTTGTTTCCTTCAACAAAATCAATTGTTTTATGTTCTGAACAGCTTTGTTTTCGTGAAATTTTCTGATGTTTGTTGCTGACTGCTAAACATCGTCAACTTTTTAACATTAAAATTAATACTTTAACCAATTAATACTTTTTTCTAAGGCTACATGTTCTAAGTAAACATATATCAGAATTACTGAAGAAGTGTTCAAGCGTGAACCAGATATTCATTCAGATCAGTTATTCTTCAGTTAGCTTGCGTCATTTTGAATCGTTCACCCAAAATCTGCTCACCAGCAGTTAGAGTTACTGTCTCACTAGCGAAGAATTTTATTATTAAAAAAGTAGTCAAATATACAAAATCTTTATGTTATGAAAGATTTTATATATTTGATTACTTTTTGAATGTCGTTAAAATCATCAATAATTAATTACCAATTGAACATTTATTTTGGTCAGTACTCACAAATTTGCTGCATGTAATGCGCCTCACCTCTTTTGCTATTGTTTGCTTACACATTGTAAGCATGGCACACGTAAATCTTAAATAGCCCAGCCCAAGCCACTTGCTTACTGACATTCTGAGCACATTTCGAGAAAACAAATTTACTTGAAAGCAAGTAATTTCGATTAGATAAGAGACATGAAAGTAAAATTATTGCCTAGTGATGAAGCAGTGAACATGCAAATGTGGTAGCTAAAGAACTGACAGATGCTTGCATAAACCGGAGAAATTTTTAGTCAAATTAAGATAGATATGTTAATCCTCGAACTTGATTTAGAAAAAAATAACACGAATAATATAATAATAATATTGAGAGCATTAACAATGTTAATAGCAAAGAAGAAATGGAAAAAATATTCGGCATAATTTTATTGAGATTCAAAATATTCATAACTCGTAACAATAATGCTAATAATAATAATAATATTAGTATAATAATACCAATAGTAATAATAATACTAGTAATACCAATAATAATAATCCCAATGATAATAATAATAATAATAATAATATTGATGACAAGATTGCTAAGCAACGATGATGATAATAAGACGAAGAAATAGAATTAGCGAAAATGAATGGGAAGTAATGAAAGGGAGAGATAGAACAAACCAATGAACGATAAAAAACGAGCTTTTCATAGCTGAAATACAGGAACGAAAGGATTGCGTGGAATGAAAGCAAACAGTTCGCAGCGCTGCTTGCATTGACAAAAATTTGACTTAAATCAAAGAAATTTTGTTGGAAGAAAAAACAAGACTGCAAAACAGCAGCAATCTCTGATTATTCCTCTTAATATATCAACGTTATCAGCGTTATCAACGTTGTCATCATTATTATGTTTCCTCCTGTCACAGCTCAAACAACTTTTTTACCGCTCTGTAATAATTCAATTTCTATCAGAATTTGCGATCACTTCTCGAAATTCGCCGTCAAACTTTGCCTGTTTTACTATTACAGCGAGATTTTAGCACTGCCCTTGCGCAGTTTGTTGAGATGAAAAAATGATCTCTGTCAGATGTCAGTGTGTGTTGCATTAATACTCTTTCACGGAAGTCATTTCATTTCATTCATTCAGCTAATTAATTTGATTGCTTATTAACTTACTTGCTTTAATCACTTATTTACACGATAAAAGTGTTGGTTTATTGAACACTCAGACTAAACTATGCAGAGAGCAGTCATTTCTGTGCACAATTATATTTGCGTTAGAGCAGTCAAAAATAATCCTACAAGTATTTGCGCCTTTGCTTTTATCCTTTTTGCCAGTGGTAATGACAGAAGTTTGATTTCGTCGATTGCTTCAACTGCTCTTTGAATAAACTAATAAGCAACTCACACATGTCATTTGTCAGTCAACAATGAATATTTTGTTTTTCAAAGTATTTTGTGTGCTTAAATAATTTTAGCAGCATTTTGGTTACATTACTGTTGTGCAGTGTGTGATCCTTGACGTAATTCAAAGCTCTGACAGGGCGAAATAAAGATTTGGTTTGTATGAAGATCTACAAGTTGTCTTTCAAATGATGCAAATTTTCAATAACTTTCCACAACTTTGAGATCTGTTTTTGATGCAAGTCACACTAAACTTACCAGTATGCATCAAATCTGAAATGAATTGTATGATTTCAGATGCCACTTAATGCATGCAAAAAAAACAAATTAATACGAAAAATTTCAGACTTTGCTCTATAAGTCATTCATAATTTTTTGTGTGGCAAAATCAATTAGTTCCACCAGCTTAATCACATGAAATTTATCAGTTTGCAGTAAAATGTTAAATAAGCTCACGAATTTCAACCTTTCTCTGTCAATAAAACTGTTTACAACATATTTAAGCTATCAAATTTTATTCCAAAATTGAAGCAAATTCATCAAAAACAAAAATACATAAAGTTTTATAAATAAAGTAAATTTTGATAGAATGTATTAAATAAAAGTAAATTTTGATAGAATGTATTGAATAAAAGTAAATTTTGATAGAATAATATTTGAAACCAATACTTTAGCTAGTGTTACTGCGAACATTATTTAGAATTAGCTCAAACATTACATCCGAAATCGAATACTTGAATTAATAAAGTCACTTAACTTGACAATTACAAGTTTCGCACCATTAACTTAGTGCTAGAGACAAAATACACAGCAAAAAATTTGTCAGCAAATTTTTGAAACAAAGACAGTCCGAAGTAAGGATTACTTCAAACTCTGTCCTGTAATACCTTGCTTATACTTTAGCTTGATTTGACTACCAAAGTAATCGCATAAACAAACATACTTTACACAAAGATTCTACGCCTTCAATAAGAGTCTGTGAGTAAAAGTGTGTTAAATTTCTGCCAAAGTAAATTTAGTACAAATAAAAGTAACGCTTGCAAAGATAACTCAGTGGAAAGCTGAAGAAATGAAAGGAAATTTAAAATAGTATAAAAAAGCAACAAGTGAAAGAGAGCAAAATGATACAAATGATTACTGCTTAATTGAACACAAATGAACTTACGCAAAATGGTTAATTTTTCAATTAAATTTTGTATTTTGTCATACACTGTTTAACAATAAATACATTACGTTTTATAAGTGTGAAATTTGCTTTATATTGTCCCTTACATTAGTAATTGGCACTTTTTTGTTCTAGAAAATATCGTTATTAAACTAAATAAATGACCTTTGATAACCTTTGACAGCGTAATAATCACTTACATCTTATGATCTTTAGCAACGGAATTTAGTGACCTAAATTGAGTCCAATTAGAATTGACGATAGCGTATAATGGATTTTCGGTAACTTTTTATACTAAAGCATTTTGAATTCTTAACTATTTCCGGTGAGCTTTTCAATTAATTGTTAAATCAAGAGCGCTTTTTGATAGCTATCGCTAGCACTGAGCTTACACATTAAAATAAAATTACTGATTTAATGGGGAAGATATTCGAATTTTGCTCGCCATTTAACATTCGAACAATTATTTTATAGCTTGAAATAAGATCCTCAGTGATTGCATTTTTGAATAAATGTTGCGTCACGAAGTGACGGAATGAAATTTGGTCAAAAATCTATGAAAGTCCAAGGTTCAAATTCAGAAGAGCAATTCGCGAAGGTCGACTGCATTTATTTCAAGGTTAACCACATTCTATTGTGTGCACAAAATCATGCAAGATATTGTCTCAGTATGCGTCAATTATCTGCTGCATATTGCGTGATTTCACCAATTAATTAAGCGGAAAGTGTTAATTATACATATTTACGTGCTTTTTTCCGAGTGAGAGCACTCTATTTTCAAAACTCACATTTTTGAACATTAAAAAATAAGCTTTCTGAAGTTAATTTTAAAGTATAATAGTCTCTACTATTTTGAAAATTGCAGAATTGACGGGGCATTTCAATATGGAAACTTTGTTGCTAGTCATTAAAGTTGGGAATGAGAGAATTTAAGCAAAGGTTTTGTACAAATTATCGAAAAATTATTACGACGCAAAATTTAGCGAAGTGCAATTTCGAATTGATACGATTTTTATTCGCTTCACCGCTTTCCTTGCTAAGTTCTCTTTTGAAATTCTTGCTGAGAAGTTTATATGCCTTGAAAAATTTTCAGTGTTATCAGCAGAAATTCATGATGGAATTGAAAGTTTAAAAAATATCAGATCATTTCAAATATTAATAACGGATTGATGTCGCTGACTGATATAGCAGCTCGTACATAAAACTTCTGAGAATTTCGTTGCCAAAGGCACAAGCATAAGTACAGAATATCTTATAAAATTTCAGAAAAAATCTCATAAGTGAACTAGTAGATCGATAAGTGTAAACTTGCAGTAATCAAACACGAAAGAAATGACACTCTTATTCAGAAGGCATTTCACAGCAGAAAGTTAGTTATAAGAATAGAAGAATGGATTGTTTATTAGAGGGATAGATCAGTGTTGATCAAATATCACATATGCATATTCATGTACATCATCACATAATCATAATATTTTGTTGGTTGTCAAGTTTTGTGAATTGTAAATGTATATTTGATTACAGTTTTGATCAAACATCATACATTTGATTAAAAATTAAAAGTTCATTTCAAGCATTTATTTGAACTTAACTTTTCGTCCAATGGATATATTAGTTCGAAACCTAAAAAAAATGATTCATAGACATTTTCAAAATTATAAAGCCTAACTCCCAAGTACAAAAATCTGAGTGCTAAAAAACAGAATTCTTTTGATATTAGCATAATCCGCATGATTTTCGGCAGTTGTTGTTCATCCAAATAAATTGACTAGGTAAGTTACACAATCTTTTTAATGCCCAAAGCCCGCAGTACACGTTATTATCTCGGCATTCTGTAACTGACATATTCTGATACAAAAATAATTACACTCAAGTCACTATTTGATGATACTGCAATTGTTTTCAGTTGCAAGTAATTGAGTACCACAGTGATCTATTTGTAATGAATCCAAAAAGATCTAATCTGTGGAATTGTTCAAAATATGCAATTATATCAGAGCATTCTAAGAATGTGTTTGCTTCTATATCAGTTATAGAAAAATTTGTAAGCACTGCCAGACTGAACTACTTACAGATTGAACTAGTTTATTCTATCTTCATTTTTCTGGCTTTTGACACATTGCTAGACACTCAAACATAATTTTGTCAGTAGTTAAAAATTGAGATGAATCTGGTATATTTAGAAGAACTGATCTAATAGCAAAACATACCTTCGCTACAATACATGGCAGTTAATAATTCAACATCTTTGTCACTTAAAGATTTTCGTTGACCCATGACCTCAAATTATTTACTTTAAATGAACTTTAGCTAAGGCATGAATAAGTTTTATCACAAAAAACTGGTGAATAATATCGAAAAATCAATTATAAAAATTCTAATTGGCTTTTAAAATTTCTAGAATAAAGATGTAAATCATAAAAAGGCACAAAGTATCTTTACTTTAAGAAACCGTTCGCTCTGATACTTTGGTACAATAGTTGGTGTAGTTGAATTGATTCCTCCAATATATGGTCCGTAATGCATAATACTGTAGTAATCATAGGTCACTCCATAACTGCAACCTTTTTTTGACAAAATTTGTCCAATACAAAAGTTTACAACATTGAAGGGAAAAATAAAAAATTAAATATTCTTCCTCGCCTTTTTAGATTAACTCAAAGCAAAAGTACACAATTATTAAATCTAATTCAGTAATGAATATTTCAGAGGAAAGATCATGATTCTCTTCCTTCCCTGAATCAATGACTACATTGTTGACTTGAAAGTTAGCATCTAAAAAGCAAGAACAAAATTCTTTACAATAGGTTAGGAATCGCAAAAGTTTAAAGTCAACCTGTAATCAATAAGAATGTTATCCATCAGTGAAGTGAAATAACTTTTAATCATACATAATTTGCTGAAAAATTTTTAATAATAGTTGGTCTGTATATAGTGACCATAATTAAATGATTTGTAAGTTAATACCAAAAGTAAGTATTAATTAATACGATGATAGTACGACCTTGTAAATTTTCTCGAATCAGCTAGAGCGAAATAATCGTACAGCTTTGGATTAATATTTTCCCAAATCACGTCAACATATTCATCTCGATCCACACGTAACTGTTGATGTCCCAGACCTAGCGCATGTAACGTTTCATGAATCGCAATGCCAACTTTCTGAATTTTCTTGAAAATGATATATAAATTGATCAAACTTGAAAACCAAATTTAGAATCAACAAATTTTACAATAAAGTAGTTTCAATCTGGCAATCAAGAAAGCATTTCCAAACAGCACAAAATTTTGAAGTTCCGAAGTTTTTCATATTAAAAATCACAAAACAGCTGAAATTGTAAACAGATTAAAAATTAGGTATTTCCGTAAATGAAATGAATTTGACTGCAGACTAGTCTATTCCAACGTCATTTTAATGGTGTAGAATGAAATTATATTTGACAAGAAAAGATAACTATTAAATGAGAAGTGTACAGTATTAAATACTATTTTAAAAAGTTATTTTCGTGGCTAAAATGTATTATATATCTAACCTCTTCACACGCGAAGCTTAAGTAAATAGGATTGACATTTTCAACGCGACCAATGTAACTGATGCCACATCTAAAAGCAATTTTCGCTTAGTCAAGGAAAAGTTCTCAATTTTATTAATTTTTGTGAAGGCTCACTGACGTGTCAGATTCTGCAACTTTGACGTAGAATAAGTGTGGTTCCTTTGGTTGTTCATTTGAGAAAGCAAACTTTATGCATGTCTGAGATGATATCTGATTTAACGCTTGAATCACAAGTTCCCTTTCAAATTTTTCTAAAATGTAACTTTTCTGAATATCTGAAATACTAATCAGAAAGCTGAGAGTGAAGTAGATCAAAACTTGTAGTTATGTTGCTATGAAGTTTTTCATAGTATTAAGAAGTAATGGTCAGTTCCACAAGCTGTCAGCATGAAAATGAAATAACTGACAAGAAAATGACCTAAAGAAGAATCAAAAGCATATTTGATCGGTGATTTAGTGTCCCATTTCTCGTTCGGCAGCTTATCCAAAAAAAGTGACTGGCGCTTTTTACGAGTTCTTAGATCTCCTAAGGCACTAATGAAATAGTTTGATTGCTGAATTGTTAACAATATGTCATTTTGAAAAGTTCCATCGTCTGTGGGCACAACCTGAAATGTCTACATTAAGGCTTAGGCTTAATTTTGCATACCTCTCAAATTAAATGGTACTACAATAATTAACTTATACCTTAAAAGGTAGGAGTCAATTATTGTAGTACCATTTAACAGCCGCATAAATTTGAAATAGTTTAGGTTTAAGTTTACTGATTTTCGATTCACAGTTTTTGCAGTTATAAAACCTATTTGTTATTTTGCTGATTTTGTGGTCATGAAGAGCGCTACTGTACGTATACAATAAGCCTCAAGCTACTGTTCACTCTCAACCAGCTGAGTGCAGTGAGAACAAAGTGTAGCTAGCATCTGAACGTGAACAACCTGCTCAGCGATGCCAGCGAACTGAAAAAGTGAGTTCTTGACTTGTTGCGTTCGCATTAACTTCTGCTCAATGTCGTCTTCTACATTGCCCACAGAAGCCTTTGATAACCTTAAAGTAAGCCTAAAATTAATTAATATGGGTGCATTTTGATCTACCCGATACTCTGTAACGTCATAATCCGATTTTCATTCCAAAACTTAAAGCGCAAAGTGACGATTTATCATTAAGCAATTAAAATTAAATATTATTCCAAATGAATTATTGTTGGCAATATAAACAAACCTATTTGCAATCTTGAAGTACTAGGCTCTAACTTTTGCAATATCGCAGACATTTTTTTCGTCAAGTGCCTTTTGTTTATTAAAATGTTTGTTAAAATTTAGCATGAAAAGTGTCTGTAAATACTAAACTTGTTTGCAAGAGCGATTTCCAATTTTGCGATCTGTTCGCGTTTGTTTGTCGCTTTATCTTCTTGCTTCAGACATTGCAGCTGATTCATACATTTTCGCTAAAAATTACCGTGAAAAAGTATTATACAAACACAAGAATTTTCAGTGAATTAATAGCTTAGGTTGTGCTTTTCTTATTTTCATCTCAAGTGAATTAGATAGTGAATTTCTGTTAAACAATAGGCATTTCTGGAATACTGTTAGATAACTTTGCTGAAAAAGTACGGTCATGTAAAAACAAGCATGAATGATAAGGAGGAGGCAAGTGCAACTGATTTGATTTGCAATAAAACTTGTAATCTCAGTTACTATTAATTATTATTAAGTATAAGTGCTCATAGATTATGTGCTACACTTTAGGATATTTGAATTAATTACAATAAGTTTGGTTCGGTCTTGTACTTCAAGCCGCTGAAAAGCAATGCTAGGAGTTCCATCAATCAAATTCTGAGGCACACCTACGAGCACATCGATTTGAGGCATTACTGGTATCGGTGGAAAACGCGCCATAATCTGAAAGTAATCAGAGAGTACTAAGCTTAATTTCGAGACTTCTTTTTATATGCATATTTTGTAATTTCGGTGAAATATGCTGATTTCTTGAGCAGCTTCACTTCTTAGAACTTCAGAGGAAAAGCTTTACGATGTCTTCCAGTGTTGTGATCGGTGGCAGAGTTTCCCATTCTCTTCCTCTAAACACATCCAAAAAATTTATCTGGCATTATTATGTAAGTTCACTTTAATGAAGAGTGCGAAATTCCGTTTTCATTTCTTCACTAATTTTATAAATTACTAGAAAAGCAAACTGCTTGATTTCAAGCCTACTGTTTTCGATTTTTGAAAAAGTTTATACCGGCATAAAATTTGTACCGAAATGTTGACTTCAGTCATAAAGAAAATAAAAAGTTTAAATTTCGATAAATGAACCTGCATTTTTTGAATGCTGGATAGCGACTACAGAATGTGTGCATTCTTCGAAGTGTATGTGCAGGTATTTGTGGGAAAGGTGTAAGTGACAATTGGTCTAGAAGAAGTGGTATGTCTTCGGTATTCCAGAACGCTGCTGATGG